AGCTCAGAAACCTTTTCCCCTCTCAGTTTGTTGAGGCCTGTACATTTCTGTCTTTGGCAGAAGTCACCACCACTCCAGCTTCATCCCCCTTGCTGTTTTAGCCAGGATGCAGCCCCCAGGATGTCTGCATAGAACAGAACCTTTGTTGTGGGTCCTGGGCTCATTTTACAGAGATCCTAGGATTCGGAATGAAGCAGCCACGTGCTGTTTGTTCTGTACCTCCCAGGCAATTCCTAGTCCCTTTGTAGCAGGATGTTCTTCGAGGGCATCTCAAACTCCATCTCATCCTCAGTCCCCAGCAACTTGCATCTATGTAGTTGATGTATGAAATAATAAATTTTTAAGACTTTTTATTTATTATGTACACAGTGTTCTGCCTGCATAACAGAAGAGGGTACCAGATCTCATTGCAGATAGTTGTGAGCTGCCGTGTGGTTGCTGGGAATTGAACTCAGGTCCTCTGGAAGAGCAGCCTGTGCTCTTAACCTCCGAGCCATCTTTCCAGCCCCATAAATAAAAATTTTAAAAAATGTCTGAGAATGGGGATGCTCTTGTGACTACTTGATGAGCCGAGGCTTGCAGGGTTTACTAAGAACTTTATTAATCCAACTCAGGAGAATATGGTGTCAAAAAAGTCTCACATAGGCTGGGTGCATGCCTTGAATCCCAGTCACTGTGGAGGTCGAGACAGGGAGATTCCAAGTTTGAACAGATCAGCCTGGGCAACTCAGTCAGACCCTGTCTCAAAATAAAAAGCTAAGTGTGATGCCATATACCCATAATCCCAGCATTTATGTTGAAGCAAGAGATGGCAAATTCAAAGCTAGGCTAGGTATGTGGGGGTGGGGGAAATGGGGCTGAGGGGATGGCTCAGTAGGTACTTGTACTTGTTGCACAAACATGGGTAATTGAGTTTGCATCCTTGGCACGTATATTGAAAAATAAATAAATAAAGCCAGGCATAGTCGTGCATGTCTTTAATCCCAGCACTCAGGAGGCAGAGGCAGACAGATCTCTGAGTTTGAGGCCAGCCTGGTCTACATAGTGTTACAGGACAGCCAGAGCTACATAGTGAGACCTTGTCTTGAAAAACAAACAAAAGTACAGTTTTGAAAGGGAACACAGTGGGTGGCGGTGCAGCACACCTGTAATCCCAGGACTTGAGTACTTGGGAGGCTGCAACAGAAGGATCCTGGGAGGTGGCTGGCCAACCAGTACAGCTGAATTAGTGAGCTCCAGCTTCAGAGAGAAACTGTGTCAATCCCAAATAAGATGGAGAGTTATCAAGGAAGAAACCTGTTCATCCCTGGCCTCCACATGCATGAACACACGTACTCATGCTCAACTGCACGCACATGAACAAAAGTTTCTTTTTTATATATATATATATATAAAAGGGGCTGAGACGACAGCTTAGTAAGTGAGTGCTTGTGCATGCCTGGCATCTGTGAACCCCAGTTCAGTCTACAGCAATACACACAGTCAACTTTAAGCAAAATGTTTTTGGTTTTTTTTTTTTACTTTTTTCGAGACAGGGTTTCTCTGTGTAGCTTTGCGCCTTTCCTGGATCTCGGTCTGTAGACCAGGCTGGCCTCAAACTCACAAAGATCCGCCTGCCTCTGCCTCCCAAGTGCTGGGATCAAAGGCGTGCACTACCACCGCCCGGCTTTTTTTCCCCCCGACAGGATTTCTTCGTATATCCCTGGCTGTCGTGGAACTCGCTCTGTAGACCAGGCTGGCCTTGAACTCACAGAGATCCAGGTGCCTCGGCTGGGATTAAAGGCGTGCACCACCACTGCAGGCTCAAGCAAAACGTTTAATGGTCTAGACCTAAACATCCTCATAAATCCATGGGGTAGAACCAAGAGTGGGCAGTTACGTTTTGAACACTTTGACTCTCCTAAGCATTAGGAGTGCACCTGTGTGTGTGTGTGTGTGTGCACATGCAGTGATTTGCTCATCATAACAAATCATGGGATGCAGCAGTAAGGCCTGCACCAAGTGAAGCTGTAGGCTGCAGTCTTTAAGCACTTGGTAGCTCAGCATGTTAGGTACCATGGGAGGGAGCGGTAGGCAGCTTGGGAGGTGCTCCCAGAGGACTTGGAAGCAGGGGTCAGCTGTACCAAAGAAGTTATGTTATAGAGGTGAGGCAGGCCAAGTAGCTTATGTCTATAATCCCAGCATGGGGAAAGCCAAGGTAGGATTGCTACAAATTTTGAGGCCAGCCTGGGCTACACAGACTGTCTTAAAACAAACAGAAATAACCCCCACCCCCACCCCTCAAAAATGCTAGGCATGATGGTACACACCTGTAATCCCAGCATTGGGGGAGTTGGTGCAGAGGCAGAGCTACCATATGCTCAAGGTGAGCCTGGGGTGCATACAGAGATCCTGTCTCAAAAAGGAAAAACAGAAGGGTGAGACAGGAAACAAGAGAGGACTGCTAACCAGAGAATAGGGGGCTGAGAATGAAGGAATGTGTCAACAACTTCCATCTGATCCTTTTGACTATTCCAAGCTATTTTACAGCCACAAAGGAAATGGCTGAAAAGTCTTTTTTGCTTATGTAGTAGTATAGGTCTTTAATCCTAGCACCCAGCACCTGGGAGGTGGAGGCAGAGGGATCCTTGTGAGTTCAAGGCCAGCCTGGTCTACATAGAGAGCTCCAGCCAGCCAGGGACACATGGACTCTGTTTAAAAAAATAAAATAAGCCGGGCAGTGGTGGCACACGCCTTTAATCCCAGCACTTGGGAGGCAGAGCCAGGCGGATCTCTGTGAGTTCGAGGCCAGCCTGGGCTACCAAATGAGTTCCAGGAAAGGCGCAAAAGCTACACAGAGAAACCTTGTCTTGAAAAACCAAAAAAAAAAAAAAAAAGAAAATAAATAAAATTATTCTTTCTGTAGACTACAGCTCAAGGCTGGGCAGTCTCGAAGAAAAAAACAGGCTGTCTTTGCCTGGACACTCCAATGCTTAGAAAAAGATCACAAGAAAATCTCTTTACCTCCCTCCCTCTCACCACAGTGCCTCCTTGCCCTCAAGCCCAGAAAACATTCCTAGAATATGATGGATGGGCTGGCGGTGGTGGCGCACGCCTTTAATCCCAACACTTGGGAGGCAGAGCCAGGCAGATCTCTGTGAATTCGAGGCCAGCCTGGGCTACAGAGTGAGTTCCAGGAAAGGCACAAAGCTACACAGAGAAACCCTGTCTGGGAGGGTGGAGGGGATGATATGATGGATGGGAAAGCCCATGGAGCAGCTTCTAAAATCCCAGAAACGGGCAATAATGACCCCAGCTAGTAAGGGCATTTGCCACCAACTCAGACCACCCAAGTTTGATATCCAGGCCCCAAATAGTAGAAGGGGGAACCTACCACGTTGTCATCGGACTTCCACAGGCTTTTCTGTTGCACGTGAACCCTCCACACACACACACTGAACACATAAATGTAGAAAAAGTCTAAATAGCCGGGTAAATTGAGCAGGACTTTAATCCCAGCACTCAGGAAATAGAGATAGGGTGATCTCTGTGAGTTTGAGGCAAGTCTGCTCTGCATATAGTGAGTTTTAGGCCATTGAGAACCTGTCTCAAAATGTGTGTAAAATAAATGGGGTTGGGGATTTAGCTCAGTGGTAGGGCGCTTGCCTAGCAAGCACAAGGCCCTAGGTTCGATCCTCAGCTCCAAAAAAAAAAAAAAAAAGTGTGTAAATTAAAAATAAACCCAGAGGCACTCAAGCACAACATGGCCCTGGCCCCAACCCCCTAGTGATCCCAAATACAGACTTTGCTTTTGAGGGTGCACCCCACATCGTCTTTCTTCCCTCTCCCACCTCCAATCAAAAATTCAGACCATGTTCCAAAACAAAAACCAAATTTATTCAGCAGACATCTTAATTGAAATCCTATAAATCAGGACCACCACAATTTCAGACACTCCGTTGCGAAGTGTACGTCAACAGCTACATCTGGAGGATGAACAAGCCATTGAATCTTTAAAAAAAATGGTTTAGCTACCTTAAAGTTTGGGGGTGGCATCTCAGAAAGTGCACCCTCAAGTTTCACAAGGGAAAAAGCCGGCGGTTTCTCCTTCTGGAGTCACATTTTAAAAATTGTTTCAGTCACTCACCGAGAACTAGCAGGTGAGGCAGCGGGGCCCCTCGGACTCTACAGAGGGTCAAAACAGAGCAGAAAAGTGTGTCCAAGGCTTTCATCCAACCCCGCACACACCACAAATAACGATGGCTACAGAGGCCGGGGGTGGGGTGGGGTTGTTTATGGCCGTTTCTGAGAAAGCTGGTGCCACGGCCAAGAGTGGTCTAGCAGGAGGAGGAGTTCTGGAAAGAAAAAAAAGCACAGAAAGCGCAAATAACTCTCCCTTCACGGCCCTGTTGGCCTGCGTGTCCTCGGGAGACTCCAAGCGGTGGCAAAAGAGACAGGTTTGAGCTTGGATTCCAAAAAAAAAAAAAAAAAAAAAAAAGACACCGCGGCGGTTAGCTCTCCCAAGAATCCCACAACACCCCACTCACAACCAACCTGACCTTGAGTCAAAGTTGGCAAGGTCAGGTCATTTACAAGTCCACATTTAAACTCAACTCTCCCCACCTTCGAGAATTCACCAACTGGGTCCCATCGCCCACCTTTGCCGTCACAAAGTAAGGAGAAAGCAGGCGCTGCCAACCCACCCAACTGCCAGGTTTTAACACTCTTCACTCCAGAACCTCTTCGATCTCCAAGTGTAGCACCATATTCAGGAAGCTTCTCCACCCGAAAATAACGAGACTATGTATGCCTACTAATCGTTTTCAAGTATTGTTAGAAAGCCCTCCTGACTCCCGCCCCTATGAGCCACATCTATAAACAATCCAAGCACACGACGTCCCCTAAGGGCTAAGTCAGGTCCAAGTCGATCAAGTAGCTGCCACAGTTCTCTCGGTAAATCCCAGGTCCTCGGCTGCCGTTGCTGCACAGCCGAGTCCGTTTTCTCTAGCAGCCTCGCACGGCCGGTAACTTTGGGGCTGTAGCCCGTGGAACGGACGACGGCTTTAGCTCCGGACTGTCCGGAGCAAAACACTGTTGGATCGGAGTAGCCGCGTCGTCTTCCTTCTCCGGGAACCCCGGGTCAGAGCCAGGCGTCCGAGGACTGCAGGGTGACTGAGTCCGGTCCGCTTCGGCCACCCACGGACCCCGGGGCGCTCGCGGGGCTCGTGGCTGCGACCGCGGCAACCGCTCGCTGGAGCCTGCGCACCGCCTCCTTGATGAGGTTTCCCGAGAGCACGAGCTGCTGCAGGAGCCGGTGCGGGTCGTCGTCGCCAGCACGCGCTCCGCCTGGGGCCCACCGCCGCTGTTGGATTCGCCGAGATGCCACGGCACCCGGGAGCCACCCCCGCCGCCCGGGCCCGGGCAGCGTGCTGGAGCCCGCGGCGAGCTCCGCCACGCAGTATGGAGCCGCCCGGCCCCGCACGCGCCCACGCTCTCCCAGCACGCAGCGCACGGCCCCCGGGGGCGCCGGGTCCCCGGCCTCCGCAGGCGCGGCCGGCCGCAACAGACGCCTCGCCGGGGCCCCGGCCTTGTCCGCCGGCAGCGTCGCCAGGACCCGCGGGGGCGGAGGCGGGGCCGGGGGACCCGGGGCAGCACACGGTGAGGCCGGGCCGTCGTGCGCCGAGTCCAGCTGCAGCGTCTCGCCGATCTGGGCGATGAGCCGGTCCACGTCGGCCGAGCCGCCCAGAGTCACCGACTGCTGCAGCAGGAGGAAGCTGTCGTCGTCGTCCTCCCCCTCCGCCTCGTCGCCGGCTTCCTCCTCCTCCTCCCTCCGGCACGGCATGGCCCCCCGCCCGGGCCCCCGCGGCTGTGCGGGCGTCGCTGGCGGCTCGGTTGCCCGCGGGCTCGGCGGGCCGCGGCTGGGGCGGGAGCGGGGCGGAGGCCGGGGCTGAGCCGGGCCTGGGACGCGGAAGCCGGGGCCACCGGGCAGTGGCACCGCGCGCCTTACAGCCGCGGGAGCCGGAACGCTGCCGGCTCGGGTTGATTTGTAAACAATGGGTGACGTCGCGCGGCTCCTACCACTGCGCGCGGCCGGGGGGGAGAACGAGAGTGAGAGGACTTCGGGGAACGGGACAGCGCGCACCGTGCGGGACCGCGGCCCGGGGCCCTCCGTCCAGTGCTAGCTTTTCTGCTCCTGAGCAACCCCGGGTGCGGGCACCGCTTTCGGGGAGCCCAGGTCCCACGAGCGGTCCGGAAAGAAGCACTCTCGGAGACGGCCAGTTGGCTTCTCCCACTCGCGGACACACCCCCCGCACACACCCAGCCCCTCCTCCGCCGAGCCTGCTCCCTCCCCACGTGTCGGCAACGCCTGCGCTGGCCCGGCTCCACTCCGCGCACCCGCAGTGGCCCGCGCGGCCCCGGGGGAGGGGTGGCCCTGACCGTGGGGGCAGGGGGAGGAAGAGGCACCGACGCTGCTGGGGCACAGACCCTGTGGCCAGAGTATTTCGACTTCCTCCCCTCCCGGCTACTTCTTTTTGCCGCAGCGTGGTTAGAGTTGACTTTTTTTTTGTCGTTCAAATTTTCTCTCGTAACCTTAGGATTCAAACCTGATTAAAAGACTTCTTTTTCCTTTTCAGCCTTTTCTCTGTACATCATACAAACAGCCCCAGGCGCAAGAACATTACACTTTGTTTTAAACCTCACATTAAATTATAAACGTTTTTCCAGTGATTGCACGCACTTTGAAAACATTGTAAGGATTACGTAAGTTCCATTAAGTGCTTGTAATTATTTAAATTCCTTCAGCGGTTGCTGTTTCCCCCCATTTCACCGTTGTAGTAAGTGTGTGACTAATGTTTCTTCCCATAAAACTTTTCCAAATTTATGATTTATTTTTCAGAGTACATTCCTAAGAGTGGAGTTTTAGGTCAAAGGATGAGAGTATCTTAAGTTTGTCTTTTTTTTTTTCCTTTTTTTTTTTTTTCTTTTTTTGGTAGTTATATGAAATCACCTAGAATTCGACAAATGTACTCTTCTCACTAATTCATTGAAACCACTAGATTGTAGTAGTATTAAAAACTTTATTTTGTGTGTGTTCCTATTTTACAGGTGAAACTGACATCTTTTCAATTTGCCTGCGGTTTTTAGTTTTATTTTTTTGTTTTGTTTGTTTTTTGGGTTCTTTGGGTTTTTTTTGAGGCTTTTTCTAATTTGGTGAGACGCCTCACTTGCCTTTTTTGTAAATTGTTTTCTAATAAGTTCTTACTACTACAGGGATTTTATATATTTCCATGACTCACTGGCATACCACAAGTTAACCTTTTCTTCCTCATATTTTACTCCAAATTTTTTTTCTAGGCTTTGTACAGCTATCCCCCCCCACACACACACACACATAACTTGGGCACTCCCCCAATAAAAGAATTTTCTTGGTTTTTGTTCAGAGTTTCTCTGTGTGGTCCTGGCTATCCTGGAACTCACTCTGTAGACCAGGTGGTCTACAGAGATCTGCCTGCCTCTGCCTCCCAAATACTGGGATCAAATAAAGGCTTGGGCCACCACCACCTGGCTTCCTCGGAGACTTTTTGTTTTTGTTTTTTTTTGGTTTTTCGAGACAGGGTTTATCTGTGTGTAGCTTTTGAAGCCTATCCAGAAACTCACTTTGTAGACCAGGCTGACCTCGAACTCACAGAGATTCACCTGCCTCTGCCTCCTGAGCACTGGGATCAAAGGCGTGCGCCACCACCGCCCGGCCCTCTGAGACTTCTAACATGGAGATAAATCTAGTCTTCCTGCCTCCAAAAGGTTATCAAAGTGCTTTCTTTTTTCTAATGCCTTGTTGCTTTTATTTGTAGTTTTTTGTTTGTTTCTCAAATCCATCTGGAGTTTTTTTGGTCTTTGGTTCAGAGAGATGAGATGAAATTAATCTCTTCCTTCCCCTCCTCCTCAGCTTGCCAGCCAGGGCTATATTTCCTGGCTGAAATAGAGGATTGTGGATTGGGTACACAGAGGCTTTGTCCTGAGTTCCCAGATGCTGGGAACTGGTGGTTGTGAGAAATGGGTGGGGCTGGGAATATTCTGATCAGTCTCGTGGGAGTCCAAAGAGCTCTGAACAGGTAGTACAAAGACCTCGATCCAAGTCTCATCCCTGCTACAAGCTGGGTGTGGGACTCCCTACAAATCAGTTTACAAGTGTTTTCACTTGTAAAATGGAAAAAATAATCCCTGCCCTGCCTCCTTTGGAGATTGTTTTCAGGATCCAGTGAGATGAGGGGAGCAGGCTTTGTCGGGCATTGCACAAATGCACGGTGGGATTAGGTCCAGGGCTTTACCGACAGCCTCTGGGCTCTCTTCCAGCCATTCCCTTGGGAAAGAGCTAATATCTCAATAATAAAGGTTATCCCCTGTGCCCACGAAGTAGACCCCGAAGGCAATTCTTCTCAGGACTGGGCTGGCCCTTAGAATCCTCCCTCCTGTCGACTTTGCCCTGGGATTGCTTAGGGCCATCCTGAAAGCACCCAGGGGCTCCCAGATTTCAAGGTGTGTCATAACTACAGCTAGTTCTGCAGGTTTGGGTGAGGGCACCTTTCCCAGCAGGCAGCTCCCTCCTCCACCTCGAGTCTCTTCACACACTTTTACTGCTGAAGACTGGAAGCCATTCTCCCTGGAGAGAAAGTCTCATTTTCATTCCGATGGTACTTACTGGAGAATTTCAAGGAGAATGAAAATTAGGAGAGGGCTTATGGATTTCAGCAGAGTTAAAATGGCAATTTTCCCCCCTCCACTCTGTAAGATGATGCCTGCCTGTAAGTAGAGAAAAGCCGTTTTATGCTCCATTGACTTTAAACATTAATGGGTCTGGCAAAGCTATTGTTTCTAACCCAGCATCCCTGGAAGTTGTTTTGTCTTCCTGTCAGAGTAATTCCAATAGTGTTCTTACTACTGTAGGAAATGGAACTGTGAGATGGCATTAAAAGAGAAAGAAAGAAAAAAAAAACCTTCCCTTTGTAATGTTGCTTTTGTGTGCAGATTTCTATGTAAATATGCCGGGATGTGGACATTACACTGTTCATTACAGAGATGAATGCCTTTCAGGAGCCCTGCTCCATTTTCTCGGGGCACTTCTCGGGAGAGCTCCGTAAAAGAAGTGCTGTGCTGGACCAGTGGGAGGTGGAGAGGAATGCCCTGGATAAGGAAGCAAAATACAAGATGTGAGAGATGTGAGAGAGGCCCAGATGCAATTAAAAGTAATGAGAAGGTATCAAGAAAGGAAGCAAGGAGAGCCGCGTGCCTGGCACACTGGCTGCCAGCCTGGGAAGAGACATGGCAAGCATTCAGAAACACCCGTGGAGGGACAGGACTCGGGGGCCTTCAGCATTCAGTCAGACCACACAGCCATCCTCCCCAGCGAGTCTGCCTGCCTCATGGCCCCCTTCCGAGTTCATGGGGAATGAACCTGACTTGGAAAACCACCGGGTGGGGCTTGTGTCTTTGATTCCTAATCTGTAAAATAAGGTATACTATATATACTATATACTATATAGATAGGGGATAAGCCTTCTATAGGTAGTACTAGAATAGAGTTATTCCCTAGGGAGCAATTCTTCTAGGCATATTCAAATGCAAAAATCCAGTTCTGTGGTGTGGTCCATTAGTAGTTGAATGGCTAAACAAATTAGAATATATCCTGGAATCTTATTCTGTCATAGAAAAAGAATGAAGCCCTGATGTTTCTACTCATGGTTAGAGATACAATTCAGAGCCCATTCTCTTGAACAAAACTCATGCTATTAATTAGGTTAAAAAGAATTAAAGGGCCGGTCGGTGGTGTTTCACACCTTTAATCCCAGTACTCAGGAGGCAGAACCAGGTGGATCTCTGTGAGTTCAAGGCCAGCCTGGTATACAGAGTGAGTTCCAAGACAGATAGGGCTGTTACACAGAGAAACCATATCTCGAACAACCAATATATACATATACATATGTATATGTACTACTACTAATAATAATAAAGAATTAAAGGGCATGGGGGATGGCGCAGTGGATAAAGTGCTTGCTGTTTAAGCATTAAGGACCTAAGTGCTCTCAGCTCCTCTCCTGCCTCTTAAAAAGTCAAGCACGGTTGCTGGGCAGTGGTGGCCCACGCCTTTGATCCCAGCCCTTGGGAGTCTAGGTAGGCAGATCTCCAAGTTTGAGGCTAGCCTGGTCTACAGCGTGAGTTCCAGGACAGCCAGGGCTACACAGAAAAACTCTTTCTTGAGAACAAAGCAACAAAATGTTGAGCAGAGTCATGCACACCCTATGTGGGAAGACAGAGAGAGGTGGATCCCAAGAGTTCTCTGGTCAACCAGTCAGTGACGCTGCCTTAAAAAATAAGATGAAGAATGATGGAGGAAGATTCCCAGGATCCTCTGGCTTCCACACATGCATGCATTAATGGGTACATACCTGTACATACATATGCTGTACACATAAGGGCATAGAAAGAAACAAAGCGTAAAGGATGATGTCCTGGCACAGGCTACAACATGAGTATAAGTGACAGAAGCCCCACAAAAGATGGTTCAAGCTTCACTCCAGGCTAAAATGGCTACTATTATGGCATGTGAATTTCATCTCAATAAAAACATGACATGCTGTATCTGACATTTGGTTCTCTTCTTTATTACATAATTGGAGCCACAGTCTATTTGCTGGCATGAAATAATCTCATTACCATGTTTCCAGTACAAATCTACTCTTCTTCAGTTTTGAGGGCACACTGAATGTAATACATAGGAAATGTCATATAAAGGCTAGCAGGACGGCTCAGTGAGTAAGGGTGCTTGCAGTCAAGCCTGAGAACCTGAGTTCGATCCCCAGGGCCCAAATGATGGAAGGAGAGAAGGGACTCTGACGTCCACACATGTGCTATGGCATTCTCACATACTCACGT